TGTCGAAGGTCACGGCGCGCTCACAATGGAGCTCTCGGAGTCTGTACAGAGAGGCTTCCAGACGCTGGCAGATCCCGGCTCTTTTGACTCCAACGCCTTCGCGCTTCTCCTCCGGGCGGCTTTCCAGAGCCTGCTGGACGCCCAGGCGGACGAGGCCGTGCTAGGTAAGCAGCTCGGCGCCGAGCCGAAACGGCCCGGGTGGAGGGCGCTGGAGAAGCGGAGCGGGACGAGCGCGCGGCGGAGCCCGGGAAGAGGAAGTCTGCCTGCGGCCGTGCCCTTCGCTCCGGACGGAGTGTGCGGACGGGACGCTGCCGGGCCAGCGGACCCCGAGCATTGTTCTGTCCCGCTTGGCACCTGCACACGGCTGGCCTCGCGTTCCCGGCCCGTTCTCGCTCAGTCGCTTTGTTCCTTTTGTCAAGCCCTTGTTCAGGTCTCCTTTGTGGCCTAAACAGCCAGGATTTGCAGTCTGGGCTGGGGCAGCCGCTGTTTTGACACTTGGACTTCAACTGGGGGTGGGGGGCTCCCTGTAATTCAAGCTTGCAAGACTGGACTGGCAAGGGTTTAAAAGGGTCTCTTTCCGAAGTAATGATGAGAGGTCAAAGAGTGCTTCCAACTCAGAGAAGATCTCGGGTTCCTAGGAGAACTCCCGCCCTCTAGTTCTGTGTGGTTTGTACAAGTTCTTGGCCCCAGTACCCTAAAATAGTGCGCCTGATATTTTGTTCCGCACCAGTTACCAGGAGGCAAGCCTCATTGAAGCTGTCTAGTCAGTGACTTCGGGAGGGCACTCTCCATGTGGATTATAGGCATACTTTAAGACAATTCGCTTTTAGGTTATTTTCTTAAATATAACTATTTAAACAATTCAAAGTTTTGGGGGTTTTCTTCTGTAGTTTCATGAACAAGACATTTGTACAAAAATTATGAAAGTGGAAGTTCTTTAAACGAAAATAGTAACCACCACCTGGGTTTAAAGAAAAAAAAAAAGAATGGCTGTCAAAACCCGAAAACACTAATAGGATTTTGGATTTCCGGTTTTACATTTTACATCCTCCCCTTTAGCCTCTGCCCCTTCAGTTATTAATGTGCACAGTGCCAGTTACCCCAAAATTTCATCATCTGTAAAGGGAAGGTTATCCTCAAATTTATGCCATGTAAAATACTTACTTTGTTTTTTCTTTTGAATTTACTCCATCCAGTATTAGACTGAGCACTGTATAGTTATTTTTTCCTTTGGGACCCTACTGTTTTTGAAACTAATAAAAATATTAGAGAAAAATAACAGGTAATTGAAAACAGATAAAGTAGAATTACTGATATGTTTTATTATTTTGCAGTTGATCTTGTTGCTCATCTCATTTACTTATAATTTATAATCATAATTGAATTCTTTGTTACCTTGTTAAAAAGGTGTTTTTACTCAAATTAATATATCTTTTTTTAGGAACATGACCATCAAGAATTTATTATTATAGGCATCACTGTCAATGTTTTTATTTTAGATCACCCAGACTTGAAACATATTGACCCAGTGGTTTTAAAACACTGTCATGCAGCAGCTGCAACGTACATACTGGAGGCAGGAAAGCACCGAGCTGACAAATCAACTTTAAGGTACAGGATTTATTTAAATAGCCATGTATTATGAAATAGTATCTTTGTGATTCTAATTTCAGTTTTTAAAATGAAGATCAAACTTTGGCTCTTCCCTACCAGCACCTATCTAGAAGACTGTAAATTTGACCGGGAGCGAATAGAACTGTTTTGCACAGAGTATCAGGTTACTTACTTTAACTTTTTAAATTAACTGTTACTACTTTTAATTCTAACTCAGTTTGCAAAGATGTATCTTTTTCCTTTTTTTCCTCCCCAGAATAATAAGAATTCCTTAGAAAGCCTCCTGGAAAGGTAGGTACAAAATGTAAGGTGTCAAGTCAAGCTGGGCACATTTTTACTTGGAGGTATGAATAGAGAGGGCTGGTGTGAAACAAAACAGTGCAAAAAAAAAAAAAAACAAAACAAAAAAACACCTGGGCCTCTGGCCCAAAGAAAAGGGGCCAAAGAGCATGTGAAATAATAGTTAAGCTAATGTATTAAAATGAAATTTACTGAATAATTTTAGAAATACTTTCATGCTTCAGAACTTGAAAATGTGACAATTTTAAAAATTCAGCATGGATTAAAATGGGCTGAATGGTGGAAGGTAGATACCATTTTTAGTAAAGACAAATCCTAATTAATTTTCCTGTAGTTATTATATACCAAATTAATACTATCTTTCAGTATAGGCAGGTCCCTTCCTCATATAACTGATGTTTCTTGGCGCTTGGAATATCAAATAAAGGTAAAGTTTAATTGTTTTCGAGAGGGGTTTAGGGAACTTTGTGGGGAAAAAAGACTTAACATGTTGTATTGTTGTAGACTAATCAACTTCATAAGATGTACAGACCTGCATATTTGGTAACCTTAAATGTAGAGGTATGTATAGACAATTCCTGTCCAAAAAGTGAAATATGTAGTGTAATTGCAAATTTCCTTGATTTAAATAAACTGCATTTTTTTTTCTTCTCTAGAACAGTGATTCCCAATCTTACCCAGAGATTAGTTTTAGCTGCAACATGGAACAATTACAGGTACAGTATTAGGATCTGTCTTTTATTGATGTTTAAGAATTAATGCTTATGGAAACTTCAAAAGAAAAATGAATATTCATCAGCAAATAATGATGGTTGGTCAAAGATACTTCATGGGAAGGGGTCTTCACAGCATATTCTGACATCAACCTCACTTTTGAAATTGTTACTAATTTACCAGTATTATGTTTGGCATTCCTTGTAATTAAACTTTTAAAGAATAATATAAATTCCTTCACTTTATGATGTTTGATCCATTAAGGTAAAGCAAAATTAAGATTGTGGCTTTGAAAATGCGATCTCTGCTTACAGAAATTGAGTGAAACTTTACAAATTGGATTGTTGAACAGTAGTTTTAAATGATTTTCATAAAGGGAGACATATATATGTATATATAAGATTTTAAATCTGTTTATGTTGCAACTTGTGAGCTTAGGGAAGTTGAAAACTACATTGATGGACAGGACAAATTATTTTTTGCCACTTCAAAAAATCTTAAAATTTAGATGCAGTTCAATTTTTCAAAGACCTGTTGTAGTCAGTATAACTATTCTAAACTTTAAGAAAATGTGAATGCAGCAATATTCTTGTTAAGAGGATTCGGTTACTCATATTTCATTCTAATGGCAAATTACCGATTTGAAGATGATATATTTGATAAGACAAATGCTTTTTTCCATGGATAGTGGTTTGTCAAAGGTTAAAATCACAGTGAACTTCAAGCTCATTTAGAACGTGTTCTCCCGACATTTTTCTTGCACCTCTCTGGAACTTGAATACTTCGTTATGTGTTTTATCCTAAAAACGTGGTATTCTATACATCTTCTAGGACTTAGTAGGGAAACTTAAAGACGCTTCAAAAAGCCTGGAAAGAGCAACGCAATTATAAGTTGGAGAAGTTAAGGAACCTCCCGGGTCTATAGGAAAAGCAGAAACATCTTGCCTTTAGCCAAATCGTCGCTTTTGCGAGCTGGATGCCTTCATTTTCAGTAGGAAAAAAAAAGTTTCCTCTTTAAGTTTATGCCATTCATCAATTTTGACTTTAAAAAAAATAGGGGGAATTCTATGCGTTTGATTCATCTTTGATATTAGCTGTACATCTCTGTTTTGATTTTTCAAGTATTCTGAAAATATTATACCCTGAATAAATAAGGTGTTGCCATAAAAAAGCGTGCTGATATTTTGTTTGGAGTTTGTGTTTTGTGTGAGCAGCTAGACACGATTAGCGTTAACTTTTAACGCCGGCCTTTTCTCGGGGTTCCACCACTGGGAAGGGTACTGATCCGGGTCGGGGAGCCCCGCCGAGGGCGGGAGCGGGCCTGTGGCGGGCAGGGCGGCCGTCCGTTACCTGGCGGAGGGCCCGCCGCTGTCCGACCCCGTCGCCCGCGCGCGCCCCGCCACGGCGGCCGGCGGCCAGGGAAGGGGCCGGCGCGGCCGCGGGAACACTGGGGCGGGCGCTGTTGTTTCTGCGAGCCCAACTCGGGTGCGGGTTCCCGGCCGCAGCCCCAAAAGCCCACAGGGCTGGGCGCCCCAGGTCGGCAGGAGTCGGCGGGCGCGAGTACCCCAGGCGGGAGACTGCAGTAACGGGGACAGGCGGACAACGCGGCGTGCGAGGCCAGAGTGGTGCCCGCGCCGAGCAGGGCGGCGCGTGTGGCGCTGTGGAGAAATGTCTGTCTCCGCGGCCGCGCCAGCGCCGACGCCGCGCGCAGCGCGAGGGGGAGGGGGCGGGCGCGCGGCGCGCAGGGGAGGGGGCGGCCACGGGCCCGACTACACCGACACTAATTCCCAGGCCGCCCTTAAGGAATGAGGGGAGCACGTGACCCTGTGGGGGGGCGGCGGGGGGAGAGGGCGGGCGGACTCTGAGCCATTTTGGAGCCGGTGTCAGTTTCCACTCTGCCTTCAGCGGTGCATTTTTTTCCACCCTCCCCTCCCCCTCCTCATCCTTCCTCCCCTCCCCCCGCCTCGCTGCCGCCGCCGCCGCACGCACATACACGGCGCCCCCCGCCCGCCCTCCTCCTCCTATAGCAACTATGAAATAATAATCGTAGTATTAAAGGCAGAGATCGGCCGAGACAATGGGGATGTTGGCGAGGGAGCCCCGAGCTGGATTAGAAACACCTCCTAGCCCCGCAGAATAATACCAATTGCGCCCCCTCCGCGCGCTCCCTCCCCCGAGCGCGGAGCGGGAGGCGGCGGCGGCGGCCGAGAAGGAGGAGGAGGAGGAGGAGGAGGAGGAGGAGGAGGAGGAGGCCCAGGAGGAGGAGGCGTTGGAGGCCGAGGCGGAGGCGGAGGAGGAGGCCCGGGCGGAGGAGGAGGTGGCCGAGGCGGCGGCAGCGGCGGCGGCGGCGGCGGCGGAGGAGGCTGGGCTCGGAGGCAGCATGAGCTGAGCGCCGCGGCCGCGGCTCCTTTCGGCTGCGCTCGTTGCCCATTGACAGCGGCGTCTGCAGCTCGCTTCAAGATGGCCGCTTGGCTCACATTCATTTTCTGCTGAACGACTTTTAACTTTCATTGTCTTTTCCGCCCGCTTCGATCGCCTCTCGCCGGCTGCTCTTTCCGGGTACGTAGGAGGCAAGGCGCCTCCAGGGCCGGGCCAGAGGGCGGCGGGGGGTCCGCGCGGGGGCTCGGGCGGCCGCGGGAAGACGAGGAGCGGCTCCCCCCAACCCCCCGCGCCTGCCCGGCCCGCGCCGGCCGGAGGCGCTGACAGCGCGGGCGCCCGCCGAGCCCCGCGCCCGATCGCCAGCCCCGCGCGCCGCCCGCCCCGCGCCCGCGAGCGCGCGCCCGCCCGCCCCGCGCCGCCCGACGCGCGGGGACCGGGACCAGCCCGCAGCCCGCGCCGCCTTCGCCGCCGCCGCGCCCGGACGCGCCCGCGCCGCCCCACGCTTTAGTTCCTTTCTCCCCCGGGCGCCCCTCGGCACCCTCGCGACGCACATGGTCCCCGAGCAGAGCCCTCGCGTCTGCAGCCTCGGCGGCTCCCGCGGCCGCGGCGCCCTTTGTTGCGAGCTGGATGGGGACGGAACGGGCTCGGGCGCCCGGCGTCGGGAGCTGCCTGGGTCCAGTGGCTCCGCTCCCCTCCCGAAGAAAGCGCCCCGGAGGGGTCTAAACCTCCAGGGAACGCCCCCATCTTATAGGGACGGGTCAGTGGGGGCGCCTTGACCCTGGCGAGATGGGTGTTAGGCCGGGGGGCGCCCCGACAAAAATGTTATTAACTTAAGTTGGAGGGACACTTGTGTGAAATTGGATGGCTCGTAAGATGGCGGTTCCCAGTTGTTTCCCCCAAGGTTTGCATTTGTGTGGAAAAATGGTAAAGTTTTCAAGGTACTGTTTGTTGGGAGTCTTGGAGGAGCGCTTCAAACTAGCTTGGGACTTGCTTCCTGGGAAATGGGTATTTCAAATTGGGAGGGGTTTTCTTTTTTCTTTCTTTTTTTTTTTTTTTTCTTTCCCTGAGTGAGGATGGTGACTGGATGTTAGTCTTGCTGTAGGTTTCCTCTCTGTATGTCTTTATCCCGTTTTTCTTTTTCTCCCCCCTCTCAGAGATGATAACTTTTCTACCCACCTCTGTCATGGGATGCATTCGGAATCCTGACTTCGTGTCCAGTGCGATGTATAGATCAGGTGGTAAAGGGATGCTCTGATAGAGGAGCACTAAGAAGTTGATTGCTAATGTTTACGCAGTCATTTGGGCTTGACAGCGATAGAGCAAGATCTTTCCTCCAGAGATTTACAGTTAATAATTGGGAGTAAACAAGTAGACAGACTTTGATCATTCCCAATTGCAATAAAAGGATTTAGTGGGCTTAGTGGTCACGGTTCAATATTTGAAAGAGAATCGTGTATTAACCGCGTTCCTTAAAGTAAGCAAGATCCGGGACATATATGTCACAATGCAAGTGGAAGTTGGTGGTATATACAATGTTAGGAGTAGTTCAACCTGTATTTTATAGGAACCTTAATCCCCATGTTTTGGGAAAAAGTCATAGGGAACATTGTAAATTGACAGCTTTTACGGGTAGCAGCATTTGGATTTTAGACAGATCAGATATTTTTGAGGTTGATTTTATGAGCAAAATTTTAAAATTTTGATACTTGAGTTCATTTCCATACTTTTCCCTCAAAGTACAATCAGAAGTTTGAAGTAACCTGCTTGTGCAAATTATGCCCCTAGTATCTTTAAAGCCATATAAAAGACACAGGTAATAAGCTTTTGTAAGTAGATTAGACATAACTATTTGGCAAATCTATTAATACTCCAGCACTAAGTTCTTGAATGTATATTAAGTGCACACATAGGTTAGATCCTTCCCGACTCCACTTAACCCTAGCTTTATCCATGGCTGTATTGAGGTGTGAGCCCCAACTGAGGTTGTGGAGTTCATTTGCATTTCTTAGACTGCTGTAGTCAAGCTGATTGTTAAGAACTTGCTTCTGTTTTCCTTCATTTTGACATTACTGATGTTAGGCCTCCACCTAAAAACTGACAGCCCTAACTATGTTCTGGTAGCAAGTTTTAACTATTGAATCTTTCACCATTGTATGTTGGAAGTATTTTTACTGGCTCAAGGACAGATTCTGTGTTGGAACCTAGATGATTTTCATTTCTAAGGTGCAAAAGAGTTCTTCAGACCTTGTTTAATATATCAAATGTTTTGGAAGTCTGTTAAATTACCACTATTTTCCTTTACAGTAAAGAGGTTAGGAACTAATTTTTATATAAGGAAAAGTGATACTAGCAAAAATCATAATAGGATTGTGGCCAAATTCTTCTGAGCTAAGGCAGGAGAATTGTGTAAAGTAAGATTTAAGATGAATTTTAAAAGAGTTTTGACTTAAATGTTCAAAGCCAAGTGGTAGATAATCCTCCTCTTAGGTTTGATTGTTCTCTGAGTTAATATTTGGTGTTGGTTTTCTGTAAGGGAGAGAAGAAATAACAGCTGTTTTTATTGGAGCTCCTTGGTGAACTACATGATCAGTGGTGGCCTTAGTGTGGTTTTTTTCCCCCAGGCAAACAATATCTATCACCTTGCTAACCATCTTTCCAGAAAAGATCCTATGGTTTCACAAGGTGTTTTAAGCCCCAAGGATGCTCTTTAATCAAGTGCAAGTGGATTTAAATACTGTTACTCTTTAGGGATTCTGCACCATCTCCGGCTTCTCTGAGATACCATCTAGATTTATGTTAGCATATGTTGGCAGTATTCATCCAAATAGGTAATCCAAAGCTAACTGAGGAATCCATACATGAATTTTCTGGTTGAGGTAGCTGGTTGCCACTGTGGTCACTTTTGTGAAAGAGGTTTGGTTTGCATTTGGTCCACTTTTTAGGACTGGGCTCTTTTAACTACAGCCATTAAGATATATTGATTGGTGTTTCCCTCTCCACTAAAATTTCCTAAGAACTAAAGCCTCAGATGCATCTTACTGCAGATTTCACAAGTTTCTAGATTTATGTTCAAGACAGCTTTGAGAATGTACTTCAGTCAGGTCTAGAATCTTAGTTTTACTTAAGTTTCTGAAATAAATCAAGGGGGGTAGGGGTTGGTATAAGAAAAGTTCCTACTTCTCAGCAGTATTACACGAAGTGATTGACTTCCCTGATTGTCCTCCTCTGTATTTCTGCTGATAATTCAGCACTGACTTTAAAAAAATAATATTTAACACCTTTTGGGAATATAATTTCATCATATGGAGGTTTGTATTGAAGTTAGGCTGAGAAAAGTAGCATTTGTTGTTCTCTCCTATCATTACTCTGGGTTGACAAGGTGTTGATTTAGTGTTGGGAATGGGCTGGTCACATGGTTCTTTATATATTGTCACTATCCTACGGACTGAAGTAGTTTTCCTTGCCTCCAGCATAGTTTGTTCAAATGAAACACAGGGCTTTCCCCCCTTCTTCCTCCTCTTTTAAAGCAGTTTTCAGTTTTTAGCCCTTCCAAAACTTGGTATGGCTCATCTCATCTCCGAAAGAACTTACTATGAGAGGAAGCTTTAAAGAGGTTCGGTTCAATAAACATCTCTGCAACTTGAGCCTTGACGCTTTGGGGCTAAGTGCACACTTGGCAATTTTCGAAAGATCTCTTAAGTGAAATTTTTGACCTAGTGATAGCAAACAGGACGGACTCAATGAGCCAAGATAGGAAACTAGGTCTTCTCACCTAATCACCGTGGAAAGAGGCCCCCAAGAGTGTCCGAGATGGCCAAGAGTGTGGTTTGCGTTTACTTAGCAGCTCGCTTTGCCGCCCCTCAGGATCCGGGGTCCCCCAGGCTGTCTGCCCTGTGGCTCCGCCCCGCATTCGGGTCCTCAGCCCGCAGGCCTCCTGCCGTAGCTCCACCCCCGCCCTGCCACCCGCACCCACCCCGCCCCCCGCCGTGCAGCCCCGCCTCCAGCGCCCCTCCCCCGCGCCCTCGCCACCGCTGGGCGCCCGCACACCAGCGGAGGCTCGGGGCTCGGCAGCGCAGCGCGCAAGTTGCAGCGGTGGCCGGATGCCAAGTGTAAGTGTAAGTTGCTATGGAAACCCTGACTGTGGCGAGTTCCGAATCCGGAGAGAGAAGGAGCCCGGGCGCCACTGGATCCGCCCCTCTCATCCCGGCCCCCAGGCGTCCTCCGCGCCCAGGCCCCAGCCCGAGGCCGACACGAGGTGCTCCTCCTGCCGTCTGCACCCAGCTCCGGAAATTCCAGGGATGCAGATAGAGCAGAATTTGTTTTCCTTTTGTATCTCGTAAAAACCTGCCAGGTTCTGGTGGCTTGAGCCATCTAAAACAATAAGAACCATGGAATTTTCAGCTGAAGATCTGCGAGGAAGTTTTACAATAAATCCATAGAGTTGGAACAAGCCCTAGTGGTTGGTAAATATCTGTGATGTCTGTATGGTGTCTGCAACAGCCTTGGGGCTACTAGCCTGGAGGACAAATGGAAGCGGGAGACCCAAATGAGCTCTGCTCCCGGCTTCCTCCGCGGACAGTTTAATCTCCCTTCAGGGTTGACCTGAGAGACTAGAAGTAAATTTAGTTGAATCCTTTCGCATCATTTCAGTAGAACTTATTCAGATCTAATCACTAAATTCCTTCTGTAAGAAATGTTGGGACGGTTCAGCTCTGACTGTGTTAAATAGATTCTATGAACTCAGTGTTTCAGTTAACTAGGAGAGATAATGTTGAATCTCTTTCTTTGAATTATGGCCAACGTTTCTGTGTTTTACAGGATCTTTTATCGAGCAGAAATGCATCGAACAACCAGAATCAAGATCACTGAGCTAAATCCTCACCTAATGTGTGTGCTTTGTGGAGGGTACTTCATTGATGCCACAACTATAATAGAATGTCTACATTCCTGTAAGTACAGACAGCTCTCTTTTTGTCACATGCATGTTGTTTCTTCTGAACTTTAAACTCTGTTAACAAGTCCTATAGTCCTTGGCCATTTTGATACAAAATAGTAGGGTTAATTTTCTTCTTTTACATAAGAGACTTTTTGTTAGTGCCTATTTTAAGTATTACAGGCATGCAGTGTATTTTCTCAGGATATTGATTGATTTCGATTATTTCCTTGGAAGTACCTTTTGGCATTTACCATCCCGTTTCTCAAATTCTCAATTTCTGACACTTAATTTTAATGTTTTGGAGTTTAGGCCCTAATTTAAACTAAAACATTACCTGTTCCTACTTCTAGTCTGTAAAACGTGTATTGTGCGTTACCTGGAGACCAGCAAGTATTGTCCTATCTGTGATGTCCAAGTTCACAAAACCAGACCATTACTGAATATAAGGTAGGAGAATGTTTAAATTCTTTGTAATTGTTATAGAAGTTGCATAATTTATATACAGGAAAGGCAGTTTTGCTGTCTTTACAGAAAATTCATTTTTTAACCTCTAACTGGTGATTTTTGTGAAGAGTAACTCTTTAATTTCTTGCCATTTTAATGGTGACCAACTTTAGTCAAAGTGCGTCATTATTCCAGTGATCCTTAAGGATTTTTTCTAATCTTTCTTTAAAAACTAAATTAGTGGGGGCTGGGGATTTAGCTCAGCAGCATAAGTACCTGCCTTGCAAGCAGGCGGTCGTGAGTTCGATTCCTGGTACCCATAAAAATGAAAAAGACCAAAAAAAAAAAAAAACTAAATTAGTTCTCCTTTTCTGTATTTTCTATTGACTTCATCATAGATAAATGTTTTTGAAAGAATATATCCCTATTTAATATTAATGAATTTAGTAACTTAAAAGACACACTTAACTCACCAAATGTGAAATTAGTAGTAAATTAAATGTTTTTCTGATTTGAAAGTACTACACAGGGAACTTTTATTTTCATAATTTTTATTTTAGTGTGTAGACATGATCACAAGTAAAACTATGTAAAAATTAATAAACATTTTAATTTTTGCCATATTAACTGGTGGTTTACTTTTCTAATTTATTCATTTTCAGGTCAGATAAAACACTTCAAGATATCGTATACAAATTAGTTCCAGGGCTTTTCAAAAGTGAGTGAGTACTTCAGTGAATTTTTAAAGAGGGTAGGCATTGCTTTTAACTGCTATATCAAATGTTCAAATCTTTTCCCTCCTTCAGATGAAATGAAGAGAAGAAGGGATTTTTATGCAGCTCATCCTTCAGCTGATGGTAAACTTTTAGGGGGCAGAAGATATTTTATTTGGAGGGAAAATTATCCACTACTTAAAATTCATTAAAATTGAATTTACTCTAAAATACCCCTTCCATTCTCTTATGTGTAAAATATTTTCATTAAAACTTTAATTTTTAAAAATTAGATTTCAAATGTCTTTATAGCTGCCAATGGCTCTAATGAAGATAGAGGAGAAGTTGCAGATGAAGAGAAGAGAATTATAACTGATGATGAGATAATAAGCTTATCTATTGAATTCTTTGACCAGAACAGGTAAATTATTTGGAAATCTATTTTATAATAATGTGTTTATTAGATACATTGTTTCACTAATTTTTTTGTTTCTTAGATTGGATCGGAAAGTAAACAAAGACAAAGAGAAGTCTAAGGAGGAGGTATGTTCTATATTACAAAAATATAAAAAAAAAATTTTGGCTCTGGACTTTATAAGGAGTGATATGCCCTTTAGAATGAATATTCTAGGGGTAGATGATGCTGTTAAATACAAGAAAATGGTATGTTTGATGTTGAAAAGTAATCTGTGTGCTTTATATATGGTTGTTATTCTTCCAAATATTTTACCTAGTTCATATTTAATATACTCATTTTCTTATGCTTATTATGTTTAATGTACTCATTTGTTTATTATACTAATTTGTTTATTTAGTATTTATAATAGTTGAAAGTATACTTGAGATTTTAGTTGCATCTAGTTTTGGTATTAGTACCTTTTATTGTACTTAGGCAGTTGAATTGAAAATTTCATATCTGAAAGGAAGTTGAAAAAATTATTTTCATAAATGTGTTCTCAGGTGAATGATAAAAGATATTTACGATGCCCAGCAGCAATGACTGTGATGCACTTAAGAAAGTTTCTCAGAAGTAAAATGGACATACCTAATACTTTCCAGGTATCTATTTTATAGCTTTTATATATTTATGTAGATTTTTACAAAATTGTTTTTGGATTACAAACCCAAAAATGCAATGGAAAAGATTTCAAATTTAATGCTTAAGTTGAAAGATACTTCTGAAAGTATTTGAGATAAATTGCCTTTTAAGATATTTACGTAGAGTTTTAAAAAATTGTCTTTGGATTACAAACCCAAAAAATGCAATGGAAAAAATTTAAAATTTAGTGCTGAAGTTGAAAGGTATCTTTTAAAATACTTGAGATAGATTGCCTTTTAACATATATAACACAAGGTCAGGGATTTAGCTCAGTGTTTCAAGTGCTTACCTGGTAAGCTTGAGGTCATGAGTCTGATTGCCAGTACCAAAAAAAAAAAAAAAAGTATAACACATCTCTTAATACTTTCTAGAACTGTTTAAGGAGGATTCTTTATCTAAATGTTTGGAGGAAATGTTTTCTAAAGTACTGTGGGGGATTTTTAGGGAACAAAAGTAGATTTACCTTTGTTTTTGTGTTATTTAATAATTGAAATATTTTTCAATAGATCGATGTCATGTATGAAGAGGAACCTTTAAAGGATTACTATACACTAATGGACATTGCCTACATTTATACCTGGAGAAGGGTAAGTAGCATATCTACTCTTCAGTTGTGCTAGTGAAGGACGTAGAAAGATTTAAGAGTGACTTTTTTTCCCTCTTTTTTTAACTTTGCAGAATGGTCCACTTCCTTTGAAATACAGAGTTCGACCTACTTGTAAGAGAATGAAGATCAGTCACCAGAGAGATGGACTGACAAATGCTGGAGAACTGGAAAGTGACTCTGGGAGTGACAAGGCCAACAGCCCAGCAGGAGGTATTCCCTCCACCTCTTCTTGTTTGCCCAGCCCCAGTACTCCAGTGCAGTCTCCTCATCCACAGTTTCCTCACATTTCCAGTACCATGAATGGAACCAGCAACAGCCCCAGTGGTAACCACCAATCTTCCTTTGCCAGTAGACCTCGGAAATCATCAGTAAATGGGTCATCAGCAACGTCATCTGGTTGATTCCTGAGACTGTTAAGGAAAAAAATTTTAAACTCCTGATTTATATAGATATCTTCATGCCATTACAGCTTTATAGATGCTAATACATGTGACTATTGTCCAGTTTGCTTTCTTTTGTAGTGACATTAAATTTGGCTGTAAAAGATGGACTAGGTGTGATATTCATGTGGACATTAAATGAAAAGAAAGATTGTTGCTATACAGAATTGGATTCTGAAGGCGGGCAAGATTTTTTTACTGTGTTAGAAAGGATGTGAAATGGTTTCTGTAACCGTTGTTTGGGTTTGGAAATACTCTGCAGTGGATAGAAGCATTGGGCCATAGTTTGTTAATCTCAATTAATGCCTACATTACATTCTTCTTGATTGTTCTTGTTATCATGCTGTTTTGTGAACCTGTAGAAAACAAGTGCTTTTTATCTTGAAATTCAACAGATGGAAAGAATAAACATAGAATAATGTGTTCTATGTAGCCATGTCACTGTGAATAACAATTTCTTGCATATTTAGCCATTTTGATTCCTGTTTGATTTTTATTTCTTTGTTGCTTTGCAAAACCAATCAAAGGAAAGTAAACTTCAGTTTTACAATCTGTATGCCTAAAAGCGGGTACTACCGTTTATTTTACTGACTTGTTTAAATGATTCGCTTTTGTAAGAATCTGATGGCATTATGCTTATTGTACAATGCCATATTGGTATATGACATAACAGGAAACAGTATTGTATGATATATTTATAAATACTATAAAGAAAATATTGTGTTTCATGAATTCAGAAATGGTTGTTAAAATTCTCCCAATTGGTTTGACCTTTGCAGATACCTATATCAAGGGTAGCTTACCAGCATAGAATATTTTTAATATGGATAATCTGATTCTAAATTCTGCTCCACTGGAAGCAATTGGCAAATAATCGTCATACTGACTTTATTCCAGTAATACATATTTACTTTTAAAATTGTTACAGTAAAGAAAAACTTTATAAGGAACATGGAAGTATAATGTCTTAATTTTTCATTGGTTATAATGGAATTAATGTGTTTTTAAATGCCTATTTCTCACTGTAATTCTAAAATTTTTAAGTGAACCAGCCAGTTGCTGGAAGAAGGCATTTTGTCTAAAGTAATTTTAATATGTGGTATAATAATTTCAAATGTAAGAATTGTTTTAACAGTTAATGGAGCCGGGCCTGGTGGCTCATGCCTGTAATCCTAGCACTCCGGAGGCTGAGGCAAGAGGATTGCCAGGAGTTTGAGGCCAGCCTGGGCGACATAGTGAGTTCCAGACCAGTCTGAACTCTATAGTGCAAGACCCTGACTCAAAAAAAAAAAAAAAAAAAGTAAAAAAATAAAAAATAAAAACAAAAAACCCCTGCAACAGTTAATGGAATATGCCTTCTTTGTAATGCCTAGAAATAGAAGCAATTTATCATGAGCTTCTATGGGAATTTTTAAATACAGCAAGTATGTTAACTTTAAATAATCCCAACAATTCTCAGTTTGTATTTTGCTTTGGTCGAATGTGGTGTGTGTTCATCACCCATCAGTTATTTGTGAGGGTGTTTATTCTATATGAATATTGTTTCATGTTTGTATGGGAAATTGTAGCTAAACATTTCATTGTCCCCAGTTTGCAAAAGAAGCACAATTCTATTGCTTTGTCTTGCTTATAGTCATTAAATCATCACTTTTGCATATATTGCTGTTACTTCGGCTTTCTTTAAAAGATTCAGTAAATGTTTTATGAAACCACAAAATACATATATTTTTATTTTGACCTAAATTTGTACAGTCCCAGTCTAAGTGTTGTTTCTAATTATAGATGTAAATTGAAATTTCATTTGTAATTGGGAAAAATCCAATAAAAAAGATATTCATTTAGAAAATAGCTAAGATCTTTAATAAAAATTTGATATGAAAAGCACAACGTGCGGAAGTTTTGGAAACTAGTGGATTACAACAGGTAAAATCTGGAGAGAATACATTGCCGTCTTAAAAAGTGATGTTACTAAGAAGTACATGCTTTGTTGTAAATTGCTTGAGAGCCCATTGAAAGATGTATCTGTTTATTTACAATCTTTGAAGTAAAAGTTAGCAATGTTTGCCAATTTTGGTGAATTTAACTCATTTTTCTAGGCCTTTTTTCCCCATGTTACTTACCTAGAACAAAGAAGTTAATGTTTCAAATGATATTTTCATTTTGGATGATCATTAGGTAAAGAATGAAAAACAATATTTTTCAAAGGCAAAAAGACTAAGTGCTGTTGGATAATTTGACCAACACAGAACTCAAACCTTGACATGTCAACACCTTTTTAATAATCTTACTTTTGAAATTTCTTGCATTTCTAGTTTAGTACTATTTTACTACACTTAATATTTCCATTAACAATTTGAAAATTGCTGAAGTTTCAAAGGAAATTTTAGTTAAAATTTACTTTTTTTATAAAACAAAGATTATCATGGTTTACATTTTTAATAATCGGCCACCTTAGTTCTAACAGGGTTTAACACTTAATAAATTACCACCTTAAATCTCATTGAAAACTCCCTTCAAAAGTCCTAGTTTTTATCAAAATAGGTTCCTTGAAAAGTCAGCTTGAAGGTTTGACTTCAAAATTTCTAGGATCCAGTAACACAAAGTTAGTGTTAAAATATTCCACAGAAGGTGCCTAAATTGATTTCACAGGTTTTTAGTTTAAATGAAAAAAGAAAATGAGACTGGTTGCTGTTGTGTAAATAGTGATCTATCTTGTTTTACACATGCATAGCATTTTACAATTACTTTTGGCTTTTTAAATTGCCGGCCGTTAATTGCAGAGTTGAGAAAAAGTTGCCCTGTAGTTGACATTTGCTTAGTTTTCATATCCAGGTGTGCAAATGTTAAGATCTATGGAAGTAAAATGCACCTGAAAAAGTAAACTGGTAGAACTTTCTTTCATCCTTTTCTCTTTCCCTAATACTGTACAGTATTTGAGAGTCTTCATTTGTAAAATCTTGATTAACTCATTTTTAGGCCTAGCAAGAGACTTTTGTCAGATAGGAACTTAAAATACCTGTGTGAAAGGCTACTAGCATTGACCAAGAAATGAAAACGTTGATCTTTTTAGGTAATTTACAACCTGTGGAGGGGGTGGGATTTTAGAAACAATCTGCACTGGAACCCAGTCTCTTAGATCGTGGAATGAAGGGGATCCCTCTCCACTTCTCTTTCTACTTTACAGGTTTAATAAATGTCTCATAGCTTTTTCTTCCCATTGCACCAGGAATGACAGTTGGAAATTCTGATTTAGTTTAGTTCCCATATGAAATAAAAGCTCTTAATATATTTTGGAAACAGTTTTTTACCCCATACATTTTGTACAAAACTAAAGCTCTTGATCAGATTATATTAAAAATGATTAGACTTTTATCAACTCTATACATCTTTTAACCAAATATCAATTAAACCTTTGTCTAAAACCATATGTCTTTGAAATATCTAATTTGCAAAGCAGAGAACCCATCTTTAATATAAAGCTTTTGGGTTAGATATATCATTTCATCTGTAAACTGAACACAACAGATTGACTATTCTAAACTCGCTCAAAAAAATTTCTGACCAAAGGGAAAAAGAAATTGGGCTGTACTAGAAAGACAGACTCAAAAAGGTTCTATAACAGGAAGACAAAGAAGGTATCACACATTCCAGTCTCCCGGTAAATCAAACTTGGGAAATAGCCCTGCCTAAAACCTTGAGCCAGCCCATCTCACCCTGCAAATCTCAAGATCCCCCAGTTTTGATTATAAAAGTCTGAAAATGTTTACACAGTCGAGTGTTTCCTGTTTCCGCAGTTAATTTTTTTTTAACGTTTTTCTTCTTTTGCTTCTTGAAACGGATTTCCTTTATTTGCACCAGTTTCTTTTTCTTAGTGAGCAATTTCTAAAGGTCTCACATGAAGAATTTCAGTAGCAACTCCCCCGCCCCTGCCACCGCCCACCAAAAGAAAAGTTTCTAGGTTGCTGTGCCAGGTGGAAAGAGCTCAGGACGCCTGCCTGAAGGGAACCACCTCGCCTCTAACTCTTTAGTGCTGCCTTCCAGGCCAGAGGGCCTTTACCAACTCCAGCAAGTCGACGACAATGTTCTTCAACACTGGAAAGGCTACTCTAAGATCTTTGCTTTTCTGAAGAAGTTTAGGGGGATAATTCACCTCGATTCTTACTTAGATCTTAGTAGTAACCTATTAGTAAAATTTTCCAAATGATAACAAATTTGTTTCATTTATCCGACTCTTGGCTTAAAAATATTTTCCCAAAGATCATCCAGAAAGAATGTACAAAAACAGCAAGTGCTGTTCATTGTTCCCTCAGAGTTACCTACATTTAAGTAAAAATATTCTTTGTTGCCCTGCTTTCCTGGGTTATTATAAGACACAAACTTCACCGGGAACGTGATTTCAAGGTGTATGGCGGTGATTCGAAGATCTCAACTCTGTCCTACAAAATCAGCTAGATCTCAGGGTGCAATAACAAATTTACCTGGAAGATTACTAACCAGAGTACTCGAGAAGCGCGTCAAAAATGAGAATGGAAGGAATGAGGACTTTGCAGAAACGGACTGACGTAGTTAGAGGAGGCTGTGGAAGATCTAGTCTAAGGTCTAAATGCCCGAAAGTGGAAGACACTCCAGCAGCACGGCACTGCAGACGGAGCCCAGGACTTAGTGATTAGAGTGTGAGTAGGGGAGCTATGGTGCTGCCCCGCCTAAGCCCCCACAAAGGTTTCTAGGTTTCCGCGCGGGGTGGAAAGGCGCCAATTCGCCTTCCTGAAGGAAACCGCCTCGCTTCTCTCATAGTACTGCTTTCTAGGCCAGCAGGTCTTTACCCAAAGGGCATGTGGAATATGACAGGGCCTCCTCCCTTTCTTTGTTTTCAACCTATTAGCTCTCCGAGGGGCAAAAGGAGCCTGTCTGGACCTCCCGTCCCTTTCTCAGCCGCGGGAAACTGGGCCTCGCGGGAGCTCAACCCAGCCCCGCCGCCCGGGAGGCCATTTTGCGCGTGCGCTGCTCGCATCGCCCGCCCAGCGCCGGACCGCGCGGATCCCGCCAAATTTGAAAGCGAGGTTGTCAGGCCCCGCCGGGCTCGGGAGGCCGGGCAGCTCCAAGTCCTTCGGCGTAGAGCGCTGGGGGCAGCAGCGGCAACTGCCGGGGTCTGCGCCGCCTTCCGAGCGCTCCCTTGCCCGCCGAAGCCGTCCACGCCGCAAGGACGACCCTGAACCCGCGCCAGGGACGGAGGGGCCACCGACGCGCCTGTGTGTGACCGCCGCGCCCTGGTCACTATCGTTTCTATCCCCGCTTCCACTCAGCGCCCTTTTTCCTCTGAGAACGACGTGCCCGCGGAGTGTGGCTTTGGGTGTGAATTTGAAACACGAGTTTTCATACTAGGCTGAAGAGGGTGACCGTAGAGGTGACTGGGAAAGGCAGAGTCGAATTTGTCAGCCCCTGGGCTTGTCGGGGTACAACGGTCTCGCGGGCAGGATCTGGCCCACAAGATCTGGCCGAAATGTCACACCTCGGGGCCCCAGGCGATGCCCGCGCAGGTCCTGGGCCCAGGAAGTCGCGAGCAGGCTCCAGGCGCGGGTGTCACCTCCGAACGCTGGCGGCTGCAGCCGGCTTCCTACAGCCCGCTTGTCAGGTCCACGGAGTCCCAAGGACACCCCAAAACAAGGAGAGAAAGGGACGATTGGGGAAAAGGTCGGGGAACGCGAAGTGAAAGCAGCCTGAAATGGGCGATGCCGGCGAGTCCTCTTTTATCAGCAAGCAGGCTGCCTCGCCGCCATTTGGTGGCAGATTTCTGTATTTCTGCAGCGCGTGGTGCCGAGCGTCACCACTGTTTGGTCTACGTGGCAGAGCCATTTTTTAAGCCGCTATTTCACCAAATTCAGATTTCCCGCCAGCTGTCTTCCACTGGGGGCATCGAGCCTCGCCCGGGCCTGGCTGGATCCCGGACCTGGCGTGGCAGGCAGACCTTTTCTCGGGGACCAAAGAGGCCCGAATGGAGCCCGGCGCCGACCCAAAGGGCAGCTTTGTGCTCCGTTTTCACGGGACTCTCCTCTCCCCGTGCAGATTCTCAACGCGCTGAGGCTGTGACAGGCGTCGTCTCGCCCGGTGTGTCGCCCTCAGCTGTGACGGGGGAGCTGAAGCCTAGGGACAGACCCGAGCCGAGACGCTGCTCGCGAGAGTGCAGGCGGGGCTTCCACAGGGACTCGGAATCGCAGTCGCCCCGGCGCGAGTCTGGCGTCCCAACGGCGGGCTGCGGTGAGAGGTCCCAAAGCGCGAGGTGGCTGCGCGGAGAACAAAGGGCCGCGGTCTCGGCGGGCTCGGGTGGGGGCTCAGGGCGCGGACTCCAGGCTGGAGACCCGTGACCACCGCCGCCACGCGGACGCCACGACCCCGGCTTCGAACCCTAGCTGCCATGTTGCCTCCCCGGAGGATGCCTGGATGTCGACGCCTCCGAGTCGCCGACGCCCCCGGCCCGAGAGCTCCGTGGTTCTTCGCGCCTCACAGCCGAGGCCCAGCCCGAAGGACCGGCCGAGCAGGCGGGCGGGGAGTCCTGTGGGTGGCAGGGCAGAACCAGCTCTTCGTCGCCCTCATTCCAGGCTCAGGGCTGCGCGCGCCTCAGATGCACGGTTGCCAGTAGCAACCACACGACGGCGATTCGCAGCGTGGGCTGCTGCTTCTGGTGCCGCTGCCTCTTCGCGAGCCCTCGAGTGGAGCAGTTGAAACCCTGGGGTTGCCTTCCTGACACCTGTCGCCCCACCCGGTCCTCAGCCTCCAGCACTCTCAGCTCCGCCCAACAGCCCCGCCCGGCCTGTCCGGCTCCCGCGCAGACAATGAGGGACACCAGTACCCGAGATCCAGGACCAGGTTTTGCAGAGCCCTCTCACCCTAGTCGCTCTCATCTCCGACTGGAGCCAAAATTCATTTTCAGTAATCAATTAGGAAGCTTTTGTTAATATCGGAAGCAAGATTGGTGCCAAAAAAGATGATGCTTTTCTAGTGACACCTACCCATTGAAGAGCTCCTGGCTGTGTCTACACTCCATGAGGGTGGCTTTCCTCTGAGTGAGCA